TAATCGTTCGTTGGGTTTGAGAATCCTGAGGATCTTCAGCTCTGGGTGGATTGGTCCCTCAGACCACCAGGTTGGAGCCGCAGGCGGTTCTATGCTACTCCACCCTAATCATGTATACCGTATACAATGTATCCATAACTTATCCATAACTTATCCGTAACTTGTCCATAACTTATCCATATGTATTCATTGTATCCATGTGTCGAGATTGTTCACCTGTTTTGGATTTGGCAATGACACTTTGAGTTGACACTTTCATTACCTCATGCCTTAGCCATCTCTAGCCTCATTTCGCCCTGCAATGATTACCCGCTGTTGATGGAAAAGAGTGCATTCTCCGCCAGCACCTTGCGTTTTGTTTATGCATTGAACCCTTTATCGATCTATGGCATCCATCCATAATCCAGCATACATGTATATCTTCCAGCATCTCAAACTTGTTCATCCACTATCATCCATCATGTGTCCATCAGTTGTCAAGTCGTCCATGATTTGTCCAGTTTCTATTTTCCATCCATTTCTTGTTGACATCTGTGCCTGTTTCATTGCTTTCTCCATGAATGAACTCCTTTTCCAAGGCCGCGCCCAGCTGTTGGAAGAAGCTAGAGCCAGTCGACGTGATCCAAGTCCGGAACTGAGTCACTTTCAATCCAACGGAGCGAAGAGTTGGCGCACACAAAATCGATCCAAATTGAGGCTAGAGGATCTGGCCTGCGGGAATGCACCTGGCAGGACGCCATATTCTGAAATCTTGAGCGTCTAGCTGCTTTGCCACGTGCAGCCTTATAGCGCTTTTGCGTCAGCTGCGTAGAGTCTGTTGTTTCATCTTTACGCTGCGAGGATGTTATCACTCAGCTAATGATGCAGACACTTGGAATTGAAATAAGCACCTTGGGGTCGACCTTTTGCCAGCAGAAAGGTCAACCGAGTACCGCCACCTTTTCTGGCATTGTTCCAACTAGAAATCACAGCAGTTGCATGTCAAAAAGAACTCGGCGTCTTTTTTTGTACAGACTGTGTTCACAAGTTGACATTCCTCACACGAGGACTGCCCCTACACGAATGCGTACAAAGACCAAAATACGTCGGGGAGCGGTTGAAGTTTTTCTTTGCCGAGCAGAAGGAGGCAGGGCTTCTCTAGCCCAAAGTTGGGACTCTGCAGGATCCCCATGTAAGTGAGCATTTTCAGGATTTATGACCCTCCACACCACAGATTTTCACAATGTTTGTCCGATTTTGGTGGTAAACCATCCGACTTCACCCACTGACTGGACCGATACACAGGAGTTACAGGAGTTCTGAATTGTGCCGGTGTCATGCTTTGCATTCTTTTATTCAGGCCGTGGAGTTCATGCTTGGTCTTCAAGGTTCTCCAGAAGAAGACATGTACTCGCGACGGATCCCGAAAGAGGCAGCTCCGTGAAGAGCTTGAGCGATCGTCAGGACAAACACAACTAAGACAAGGGGAAGAGGTTGAAACTCCAAAACCGTTTCAAGTACAAGTTGCAGACATTGCGAAGCTTTCTGCGGCTTGCCTTGCATGCTGTGAGGCCCAAGTGATAGAGCGGAATGATACCATGAAGAGATGTATCTTTCAAGCCTTCGATGATGCTTGTGATCGACACAAGTCTCGTTTCATGCAGATGCTTGGATGAAACAGATGTGCATTTCATCCATTTTACCAAGTCAATGTGAAGACTCTCGAGTATCTAGCATGTCTAGAGACCTTAGACTCTAGAGACTTCTAGAGTATCTAAGACTTGAAGGACTTGAAGGACTTGAAGAGCTCAGCATGTTTAAATCGCCTAAATCGCCAAGGATGTGGTGCGATTTCATGGACAGCATGTTCCAATCTCCATTGATGCTCCTGAAGTCGGGCTCCATGCCGTCCATTGGGGATGACTTCGATGAGGAGAAAGCTCCAACCTTTGAAACGACAAAGGCCGACTCGGTGGGAGCTCCCTGGTGGGGATCTAATTTGCCGTCACTTGGGAGACATTCGGAGACTTGAGGGGGTGCAGTGTTGATACTGTTGATGAACCTGACCGCACTTGTTTGTGTCAGTTGGACACTTTGACCGTGCTACGTTTGGCTCAAGCTGACTCTACCTGTTTTCAGTGTCCAACTCTCTGTTGCCTTTGAGCTTCAATCCTGTGAACATATCCATGGCGAGCTTGAAGTACTTCGCGGCCTTCTTGCTGACCTTGGAGCTGGTGGCTGCTGTTCGCCCTGCCCAGCATGAACTAGACCTAGAGAAACCAACACTTGCCAAGCATGAGTCCCATGGCCATGAGTCGAAGCTGACACAAATCGAACGAGTCGAAGCCGTGGACCATGCGAACACAGAACGAAAGCCTTGCTGCGGCTGCAAAGTGAAGAGCTTTCTGGGACTTGGAAGGTCCTGTGATGGTAAAGTGGGCAGCTACTTGATGGAAACTTGCGCAGGTGAGCGGGGCAAAAAATGCGACGGCCATTTCAAAATGAGTGGGGACGAATATTCATGCTGGACAAACACGGATGGATGCAAAGCCGCTCCCTCCTCATTGCCATAGTATCTTCACCTGCAAGACACGACCATGGCCTTGCAAGAAAATCCCAGAGCGCCGCCATTTTCAGAGTCAACGAAAATCTCATTTGCAGAGCTTAATCTGCGTTTGCAAAAGGAAGAGGAAGGCAAATGCGAAGGTGTGTTGTTGGTTTCTCTATCTTCATGCAGCAGTTTTGCAGCAAGCTTTCTTTTTGTACGAGGCTCGCATTGAAAAAGAACGAAGAGGGAGGGGAACTCTACAGTCGGCCTTGAGGTGCGACAGTTGGCTGCTGTAAAACCAATAGAGAGGTTTTGGGTAAGCTTACTTTGGTGTAGCCAGAGCCGTGAATTTCTCTCCGTACTCAGTGAGCTTGTGTCTTTCAAAGAAACCCTACAGCGTTTTGGAGTGCATCAGGCCTTGATGATGTGTGATTCGTTTTCTTTTCCTCGACAATATGGGGTCCGTGTGAGAACAAGCATGCCAAACAGAAGTGATGCCAAACAGAAGTGATGCCATCAAGCTCACGCCAGGGAAAAGGTGAAGCAAATCCCTGATGATGATGTCAAAGCCAATGACTCGGTGAAAATGGTGGAAAGGCTGGGAATATGCTGGGAGCACAAGAGATGCTGCTGTCAACTTGATTGGATCACGGTAGCCCGGTAGCGCCGCTAGAGCATTTCTCTAGACTTGCACTATCTTGCACTTGGATTGCACCATCCACAGGATAATAGAGCAGACCTTTGCGGTCATCCGCAGCGTGCTGGGCTCAATGCCATGGGCGAAGAATGACGTGTTCTTTTGTTGTGCCTGCTGAAGCTGCTGAGGTGGTTGCAGATCACATGCAGCTCTATTCGGTTACTTGGCTGAAATACAAGAGAAGCGCCTAGACTTGAGGTCTGCAATGTTTGATTGCTTGAATTAAGATTAAGCATGAATCCAACATAATCCAACATAATCCAACATTCAAGATCATTCAAATACAGCCTGAATATTGAAACATGAAAATCATGAATATTCAATCATGTTCGTGTCCAGAAGCCACCACCGGGTGCATTCCAGGAATCCTTCTTCCTCTTGCCCATGTTGCGACGGTTAGAAGGAGTCATGGCTCAAATGGAGC